GGCCGTCCGCCCGCCCGGAACACGGCACCGGCAGCGGGCAGCGGAGCGCAGGGGTCCCCGCCGGCCCTTCCCACTCCCAGGGCACACGTGGCGTGGGTAGCCACGCTGGCCCCGGGCACGCAAAGGGGCATCTTTGCTCCCGCTCGGTCAAGCAGGGCTGGGCATCGCCGCCTACAACCAGGGTTATTCCTGCTCTCTTGGAAATAACCTGTCCCGTCTTTTCCCAGGTCACTTGTTTTACATTTCCCTTCTGGATTCACATTTCTCCGCTCTCCCCTTGGAGACAGGGATCTCTTCCCCCTCCTGCCTGCCTGGCACGTTTCTGTTCTCCCCAGTAAACTATTTTCCTGCTCCATCGTACCCTGTTTGGCAGAGTGTCAGCATCTCGGTGTGCTTTTTCTTATTGCATGCCCCAAATATGTCCTTTATTTTCCCTCTATGACTTTTGAGACCGCCCTGGGTACAGAGGAAGGTTTTTTCTCCCCCAGATGCAGATTGTCTCTGGTCGCTGCTATCTTATACCCTGATTATATGACTCCCTGAGCTTGTCCAGGTGGTTCACTGCCCTCCGACGCACAGCTTTAATTCCTTGCTCCCTGCTCCAAATGAGATGAGAGGCTTAACTGGGCTGTTCAGCTGTAGTTTTCACTGCTGTTAAAAGAACTACCCACGGGTGGAGCCTGCAGACGCGAGGGCCGCGACCAGGAGGAGCGCTCAGCCGAGGCGTGAAGGCGCTTTGATAGCAGGTCAGCTCTGACGTCACCCGGCACTTTCAGTTTCTTGGGAAGTGAGGTAGCCGGAGCCTCGGATCTTCTGGGATGGCTGAAAGAGATGCCATGGCGGAGCAGCAGCCTGCAGCCGACAGCCCCGTCGAGTTCTGCGTCTTCGTTAGGACTTTGTCCCACAAAACATTTGCAGTGCGAGTGTCTCTGGATGACAGTGTGTGGGAGCTTAAAGCCAAGCTGAACGCACGGGACTCCTCCCTGACCCCTGACGGGGGAAGGCTGATCTACAAAAAGAGACAGATGCAGGATGACCTGACCTTGCGACACTATGAAATCACACCCAACTGCTTTTTGTACTATATAGCAACACGTAAGTGCAGGGTGGCCCGGAGGAGGTGAGTGAGGATCCGTCT